CATTTTTACATCGATTTAATTCGGAGGTTTCTAATATCCTTTTCTTTTTAACTTCTTTTATTCCTAAAAATTTGTATAAGTCTTCTTGTTTTAAATGTACAACTCCTTCACAATACGGTTTTCCTTTATCGTTGAACTTTTTGAATTGTGTGTCTTGAAAAATATCTTCTAAAGTACAAGACATTTTTTTAAAGATATTAAATGATGATGATTAATATTATTTATTTAATAAACCAATATAATTAACACCTTTTACTCTTAATGCAAGTTGCATATCTTTGAGCAAAATAGTAACTCTTTTGGAGTGAATGGCACAAAGATTAGTATCCTCAAAAATATCAATAATAAATGCCTCAGCTGCTTCTTGAAGTGCAAGGAGTGAATTCGCTTGAAATCTAACATCAGATTTGTAATCTTGAGCAACTTCTCTCACCAACCTACAAAAAGGTTTTTTTTTTATCAATAATTCAGTGCTTTTTTGATACTTTCGGATTTCTCTTAAAGCTACAGTACCTGGTCTATATCTGTGTGGCTTTTTAATTCCTCCTGTGAATGGTTTTTTTGCAGATTTCTTTGCTGGTGTTTTTTTTGGTGTTTTTCTTGGTGTTTTTCTTGGTGTTTTTGATGGTGTTTTGGTTGATGTTTTTGATGGTGTTTTGGTTGATGTTTTTGATAGTGTTTTTGATGGTGTTGTTGATGGTGTTTTGGTTGATGTGTTGTTTGGAACTTCCGAGGTTTCTGTAGATGTTTCTGCTGTTGATGAAGAAGTTTGAGTCATTTTTCAGTTTTTTTGAGAGTCGATTACGGAATCACTTTTACTACCACAACACTGGCACGGGGAATCGACGATCAAATATTTTAACTGACAAAATGCCTCGTGTTGCTGAAGCCAATATAATTCCTATTTATAACACCATTTACGAATTGCCCGTAGTTATGATTTGTTGTGAAGGAGAAGAAATTACAGATGATCAATTTTATGATCATCTGTATATTCCGAATTGTGTTATGAAACCATCTATTGTTAATCCAAGAGCTCTAATGGATGAATTAAAAAGAACTTTGATTGATTATGGAATTGATGAGGATGAAGGTGTTGTAGAATTTACAGATACTAAATATTTGAAAATTCTACGTGAAGTATTTGATTTACCCTCTGCAACCCGAAGATTAAAACTTTACTCTTTAAATTCAATTTTGTATGCAGAAAATAGAGCCTTCAAGTCTTTATTTGTTCATGTTGATACAACAGACAATTTAGCAGAAAATCCATTCAAGTTCAATAATGTGCTATTCTTGAAATTGAAACGAGAAGAATGTGACTTGTCATTAATTGATTTTAATGAATAAAAATTATTTATTAAACAATTTGGAAACCAGTACAATCCATACTTTGTACATCCTTTGTAAATTCCAAATCTACTGAAACCATATTCGTTACTGGATTGCATATAAATACGAGTTTAGAGAAATACAATCTGTAAACAAATTTCCACTGTTCAATCCATTTAAAGTGTGGTTGAAATGGATGGTTCATCAATATTGGTTGGGAAACTTGAAAAACCGTGCTTGCATAACTACCATTACAATTCAAAGGTGGCATATTTTCCAAACCATAGAATTCATAAGAAGGACAAGTAATACTCAAACTGTGACCATTGTAACGAATATATTGAACTCTGTTTTTCATTTTTCCACCACATGACTCGAAATAATGAGAGAACCATTCAGGTTTCAATGATGCAATACGAATACCAGTTTGAAATCTTTTGAACATACTTGGATCCAAATAAAAACCCAAAGTTATAGCACAACTTTCACAAAACATTTGCAAACAAGCAACTCGTTTCATTTCTTCAACTCTGTTAAATGGACCACTGACTGGAATAAATGTAGCTTTGAAACCACTTTCGGTGGTGGTTGGAGCATAAAGGAACCATTTGGCATTCACAGTTGTGTAATTGACAACTTCCCGAGCAACTATTAACAATGTTAGTAAATTAATAAATAACAATAACACTTACGCTTTGGATTCTTCTTTTTGATGGTATTCTTCTTATTGGTGTTCTTCACAGTGTTCTTCACAGTGTTCTTGGTATTGGTATTCTTCACAGTGTTCTTGGTGTTGGTTTTCTTCACAGTTGTCTTGGTGTTAGTTTTCTTCTTAGTGTTCTTTTATAATTATTAGAGTACTTGTTTATATGGTTACTTACTGATGATTTGTTTATACCTTTGCTCATGATGAATTAATATTGTGATTTTTTTGTTGTTGGTGTTGTGGGAATGGTTGGGTGATGAGTGAAGCATTCTTGTTTGTTGCATTTTTTTTGTTGGGGCGTGTGGTTTAGACGCAAAATGTTATTTTCAAAAGCTGTGCAGATTTAATTTGTAGTGGATTGGCAGGTTGTTGGCAACAGACATATTATGAAACACTTAGACCTTAAAAGAAATAATTTTGTTTTTCCACCTTGCATTTGAGGTAATTTTAAACAAAATATCGAAAATGTGTCTCATTAATTTTTTTAACATTGCAAACAATAGCTATTTTTGGAAATATTACTTGCTGTAAAGCTCAGATCGAAGAGGATGAGAAACATCCAATTGTAAGTGTTAACAAAATTGATTCTAAACTCCAAAAGATCTTCATTATTACTCAAGATCTTGTCAACTGTACATGTCAGTATTTACCCTCTGACAAGCTCCATAAATTTTCAAACAACCACAACTTGTAATTGCATTTTCAACCTCCACTGTATCATCAACAATATTATGAATTAAATTATTTTATTTATTTTTACTATTTACAAAATTGTATTCGAAATTAAAGATCCTTTCTTGGTTTGAGAATAATTCTACAATTTCCTGGACGAACTGTAACGCCAGGAACATCAACAATTTGATCCTTTGGATTAGATTCATCATTATCCAATCCTAATTCATAGAATTGAAGTAATCTTACAAGAATTGTAAAAGCTTCAATTTGAGCAAACTTGAAACCCTGAAAAATTTTGTAAACTTGTGAAATTTTCAAAAAGTACTTACAATGCATTTACGATTACCCATAGAGAATGGAATCCAAGTGAAATCATGTTGAATTCTCAATTGTTCTTCAGCATTCATTGGATATCTTTCTGGAATGAATTCTAAAGGTTTATCCCAGTTTCGATCACTTCTATTTGCAGTTTCCATAATGACAGCATTGACATAGTTCATAATTGGATAATCGTCAAAGTTTGGAGCTCTGGCATTTACACCCTTTCCGAGATGTAAATCAATCTCTTCACGAATCTTATTTTGAATATCTGGTTTTGTTGATAATTCGTAACAAACCCATTGTAAAGTTGTTGAAGTTGTCTAAAATTTCAAATAAAAAAATCATTACAAAAAATTGTAAATTTGCAAATACGAACCTCATGTCTATGAAAATAAATTAGGACAAATAGTTTAAAATTCGAATACATACCCAGCAAGCGAAAAGATATAAGCGTCAGATTTGAGTTCATCACCTGACAAGATTCCCTTTTGAATGAAATTGGCTTCAACCAAAACACTCAACAAATCCTTTCTTTCTTCAACACCAGTTTCGGATGTGTTTCCATCTTCCATTCCACGCAATTCTACTTCACGAGTTCTTTCCGCAATGATTGCATCCAACTTATCACTCACAACTTTTACTGCCTTATCTAAACCAGTATATTTGCAAGCCCATGGGAAAGCCCAGGAAAGGACTGGATTTAATCCGACGAAACGTTTTAAGATTACACCAGTGGTAAACATCTTTTCGAGGGATTTTCTGAAAATTCTACCTTCTGGGTTAGTTTCATCAAAGATGGAAAAGTCCAAACCGAAAGCAGCCTTACCAAGAACGTCTATTATTCGAAAGGTCAACATGACAATGTCAAAATTCGAAACTTACCCAAAGTAATATCACTAAAATCAGCATTGGTATCAATAATAATACCTTCCTTTCCTTCCTTCAATGCCTTTTCCATTTCACCATCCCATTTACTTTCCTTACACAAATCCAAAGATTTTGAGGCAACTCTTGACATGTATTCCAAATTTTTAGAAGCAAAAGCACCTGAAGCTACTTTGTGATGATTTTTCCATGAATCACTGGTACCATCGAGAATTGATAAGATATTCTTGCCGAAAGCATTGAAAACTTCATATAATTTCCAAGATTTGATGAAAATTCCACCCTTAACGACCAACAATTCCTTCAACATGTCTCTATCTGAAACTACAACCATATTTCTATCGAACATGGATAATCTGACAAGTCCAGTTTTTGGATCTCCGTGAGTTTTGACCAATTGTTCCATTCTCTTGTGTCCATCGAAACTCAAATAAGGTGAAATGATTGGAATATTCTTAAAAGTCAAGAAGAATTGGAAAGCACCTGGAATGTGACTCACTTTCTTATAATTATTATAAATTGAAATGAGGAAGAAGAGAAGAATTGCAGCAAAAACGCAAACAATTCCCAAAATAATTTCGCTTAAAGCCATGACGATGTTTTCTTTGTTTTTTTTCAAATTGTTGGGAATTTCTCCTTGGAGAAGGTGAGGAATTTATTTCAATTATTTGTTGGTCGATTCTTTCTCTGTAATATATTCCCCGAAATGGTGAGCGTGCGATGACGGATATTAGTTTTTCCAAATAAGGATGCTTTGGCGCTGTGGTTATTTGGTTTTTTGAGCGATCGTGCTTTGCAATAGTGAGAGATTTTGTGTACGAGATGATGTTGCCGAAATTCGAATCTATGAACTTATTCAAATATTTAAATATTTTGAAATTTGTCAAACTTTTTATTGAAAGATTGAGGATTAAACATCGACTCCCATTTGTTCTGCTTTAAAATCATTCAATTCTTTCCATTTGTTAAATTCAGAAGTCAATTCCAATCTACTGTAAGTGTCGACCATGTTTTTGACAACTTCAAATGCTAAAACATCTTTCAATTGTTGAACAGTGATGCATTTCTTCTTTTTTGGTTGACTGGAAACTAGTGCTTGAGAGGAGGAACCTGATGTATCTGAGAGTGGAATGGAAGAATCTGATTCAATACTTCCTCCTTCAAAAGCAGTAATGTCAAAATCTTCCAATAACTCTCTAAACTTTCTCTTGGTGACAGATGGCAAATTGACTTCATATTGAGCACGATTGGCCAAGTACAATGTATTAATTCTGACAAGATCATCCTCATAGACTTTTCCTTTCTGTTGTAATTTTTCCAATTCCTCATATAAAAGATAATTTTCACTTGAAAATTCATTTTCACAATATGATTTGAACATTTCTCTGAATGATTCCACATTCATGTACTTTTGCAAGTCATGAGTAATATCTGTTTTCTTTCTTACAAGTTTTGAAAGGGTATCAAACCAGAATTTCAAAGAAACACTTCCTCCCAAAACTAGATAGAAACAAAGGAAATAAATGATGGAGGCAATCTTTCTCAAAACAAAGAAATCGAAAGAATCCTGAATGGCACCTGTTATGAAAGGAATGGCCGAGAGAAACATGATAAACATCAAGAAGAGATCTGTTCTATACATGAATGGATCGTCAAAAGCCAAATAATAGGAGAGACCCTTCTTTTTGATTGTATTGATACCAGAGGAGGCCAAATCAAATATAAAGAATAAAGTTGCTATGAAAAGCAATAAAATTGTCTGGATAGCAATCATTAAAATAACAATTTCAGTTGGGAAATTGACAAATGAAAAGACAAGAGCAACTAAAACAATCAGGATTGGAATGCCACAAACAATGAAGAGGAATATAGTCAAAAATAATGCAGCAAATATGGAAATTCCTCTAGAGGTCATGCATCTGTGAAATCTCAAAGATTTGCAACAATACTTGGTGCACTTTTCAATATTCTTCAAATAGGTAAATCTGGAAACTGAAACTAAATATGAGGCAATAAATAATGGAGCAGGGAAGAATGCCAAAGCCATTTGAACCCAATAAGATTCAGTTGGAATATTCGACTTGACTCCATACACAAAGAAAATGCACAATGTAAATAGGAATGGAGGAGCAGACAATGGTAAGAAGAGTCTCTTCTTGGTCATGATTTTAAATCCTAAAAAGTAGGCAAATAAATTAGTCATGAAAATTAAAAATCCAACACTCGCAATTGTAATGTAAATGGCATCATTGGCTATTATTGGTGAAGTAGAGTCTGTTGTGCTGAGATACAATTGGCTGTAGGTATAATAGTAAGTGAAACATGCTGGATGAACAAAGTAAGCATAGACATCTTGCAAATCAGATGAGGTAAATGTCAAATATTTGCTGGAAGGATTTTTGATGAATAGAGAAAGAAAGTCATCAAATATTCCATTGAATAACATTCTTCTAGTTGCTTCAAAATTGAAACTATAATCAATGGAAACAACTGAATCATCAAAATATGTTTTGGCATTGAATAGTGCCAAGTTAAATACTGTAGAAACATTTCTACTCGATCCAGTTGGTGCTTTGGTAAGAAAATAGGCCAATCGAGCATTAATCCTCATAATGGCTGCATGATATTGATATCTGAGTGTAGAATTGGTAAATATTGAGCCACAATTTACACTCTTACTACTAATTGGTGAATAAGCAAGTCCAGTTCCATTATTTTTCAAATGTGTAGAATAGAATAACTTAAACAAGGCCATATCCGTCACTATATCCTCCTGAAGATATGATATCAGCTCCTTTCTCATTGTACTATCTGTGTAGAGTTTACTCCAATTTGAATAAGGAACAAAATCAAAAGAAAATGGTGCATTATGCACTGGTTGTGTCTTGAATGCATCACTAAATGTTGCATTCCAAAGTGAAAGTCTCGTATTCTTCGAAACCATAGAATTTCTCAAAATATTCAACCATTTTTCATACGAATCTAATGTAGAAATAACCACACTAGGAGAAACTTGATTAATAATATACGAATAGTGAGCCGTTTCAATAGGTATCGATCCCGTATTAATCACAGTAGGATTATTACAAACATCCGAGGCATTTGACATGCTTTTCACAATAGTATTATACGTTTCCTTATACTTGTTAATACTTGGAAAGGTGTCATAATCTTGTGAAATGACACATCTAGGATTCGTTGAAGATGTCAGAAAATCCAATGAACTACCAATAAAATCAGAGACATCTTCAAATGTTGATGATCCTGTTTGAAGTTTTGCCAATTTGTTTACATAAACTTGATAAGCAATCGGTATATTTACAATAGTCGCATTCAGGGAATTATAATTTGTTATTGTTGATTGTGTCTTGATAGTGGCATTATGTAAAAAGTCATAGACATTGGCATGGATGAAAGATGTGATGAATAATAGTATGAATATTGTTGTTGTAAGTGTTCTTATCAGCTGCTGTTGTGGAGATGATGAAAATGTCATGATGTTGATGTATTTTTTTCTGTTGGGTTCTGACACTTTGACATGAGTTTGCAGAGAGTAGATCATTTTGATGAAATTCAAACGGCTGTTGCAGGGAAAGGAGAAGAAAGGAGAACTTTCGAACTCTTTCAGTGATGAAAACATGAAATGGAGGCCAGAGAACTTGTTGTTATTATTGTTATATTATTTTACTATATAAGAGTACTCACAATGTAGGATGGAAATGTATGATGATGTGATGATCAAATGTGTGCTGTAAGGAATTAGAATTAATCGTCATCATCAATAATTTCATGATATTAATAATAATCAAAGTAGTCCAATTTTCCTTGGTTAGTGTAACTAGTGTTGAAAAATAGCCTTGATATTCATCGTGTTATATCCTGATAATTATTGTGATGGAAATACTAGTGTGATGTGTTGTTCTTTAGAAAATACAAGTTTTGTGCATCAAAAATATTTTTATTCTTTTTATTTTTTTTTTTAAAAAAACCACGTCATTACTATGAGTGATTTCATCATCACATTCTGTTGAACGTCCTGAAGTGTTGGATTAAAAACATCAACAACACCCAATAATCTTGTTCTATCTTGTTCATCCTTCCAACAAAAGGACAATAACAAAAAATTAGCGTCATCATGATAATAGAAACAGATCCTCAGCTAGACGATGAAACTCTTCAAGAAGCGGAAAAACCAACAACATTCATACAACAACTCAATGAAGATGTCATTCTGAATATTTTCGAATTTCTAGATCGATTCTTTGTCCTAGATACACTCTCTACGTGTTCACAACAATTCCATCAACTTGCACACAAACCCTATCATTATAGTAGATTGTTATGGAAGTTTTCCTTTACCAACTATGAAAGGTTGGATAGAATCAAGTCGTATTATAGTGCTGTCAAGTATATTGAAGCAAGTGATTCGGACAGGCTCACAAACGAACCTATTGATGAGTCTAGACTATTAGAATTGGTTACATTCATTGGAGAACATCAGGAAACACTCAAGGGAGTTGAAATTGTCTTCAACAAGGCTCAACCTTCTTTGTTTGATAGTATTGCTTCTGCTTGTGGAGAGTGGCTGAGTGAGCTTTCTATTAGTGTCTTGTTGGATTCTGAATTTGCCAAGTATTTGTGCTCTGGTTTGCATCGTTTCAAAAAGTTGAAAGTGTTACGGCTTTTTATTGGTAAATCTGTGGATGCAAATGTTGTACTCGACTCGTGTGTAACAATGCAATCGATGGAAACATTTGAAACAACACTGTATTTGTATAGCAAGGAACACGTGGAAAAGTATTGTAAATTTATTCGACCTTTGAGAAATATTTCAATAGCTCTCAATTGTGAGGTATTTACAGATAATAGTGCCTTATTGGAACTCTTCACATCATGCTTTCTGCAAGGAAAGGGAAGGATTTCTTTCCACTTCTTCAATGTACCTTCTATTTCATTCTTAAACAAGTTCAATGATGTTTCAAAATTTTGTAGGGAAATGCACATATCAATAGTTGAAATGCACAATTCTGGCGATGAAGTATTGTCTCTACATAAGGTGCTTTCTTTTAGGGTTGATCATGCAGCCCTAACAGCAAACGAAAACATTTTCCCAGTAGATTCTAAAAGTATCATTTTCAATCCTTCAACAAAATTTCGTAACAATGTCTTTACAATGTATCCTTCGAGGTTTGCCCATTTGAGAAGACTTGAACTTTCGAATGCTAAAATAGTTACCAATCAATGCTTGAAGAATCTAGAAGTTGTAATCCTTAAAGAATGCACAGTACCGTCAGCAGAGGCAATAATTGAAATGTCGGAGACATTGGAAATGGTACACTTTATTAGTTGCGAGTTCAGCGGACCTTCAATTAAGTGCCCAAAGAGAACTCGTTTGACAGAGCTTATTCTTAAAAACACAAGGCATTTAGTACAACAATTTTACTTGTCAACATTACAAGATTTGAATTTGACCGCTCTTCATCTTGATAGCTTTGTGTACAAAGCAGAAGAGTTACAATACTTGGAGAATATGTCTTCATTGGAATATCTAAATATTTATATGGCTGATGCGGAAATGATTAATACTTTTACAATTGAAAGGATGATCAATTTGAAAGTATTCAATGTTAGCTATCCTATGACAATCAAATTAACAGGTTCTCCTGTAAATTGTTTTGCAAACCTTGAAATACTCAAACAGGCCCTCATTATACTTCCACCTCAAATTGTCCTTGCTCTAACTCCTTTACATTTCTTGCAACCAACTCGTGATGAACTATCTGAGATAATCCTTTCTACCTTTAAGAGAGATTGCATGGAATTAAGATACTTTATATGTAATGGAGACTATATCTATTGCGTTCTAGTTATGGATCCAGGAAATTATGCAACCTTACTGATAGAAAACAAAGCTCCGTATAATGTTGTGGCCTTTAACTCTTTCAAAAAATTTAGAAATTACATCCAACCAGATAGAACACACTATACAGGAATAACAAGATTTCTCTTTCGTTTACCGGAAAAATCAAGTCTAACATCCAAATGTTTAACCATGTAACAAGTAAATTTCAACACAAACATTTACAAAAGGAAAGAATAAAAAAATGTCAAAATTTCATGTCCCTACCTCGTTCCAAGTTTTACCAAGAAGAAAACTTACGAGGTTTGTATCAAGAAGATGATGATGATTATTAATTATTAAATGTTTTTACAAATATGATATTTTTCGGAATGATAAAGAATGTCCCAATTGATGGTCATGCAAGAATCCGAGACAACACCATGTGTTGTAGGAGGATTGGTTTTATTATCAGCCAAAGATGACAACAACAACAATATTGAGGAGAAAATTCATCGGATTGATAGGAAAGCATTTGAAGAACGATTAAAGGAAAGACTTTTACAAAGATATGTTCGATTCAGAAGTATTCTAGTGAGTGAATCAGAGTATATTGATATTGGAGTTGATGAAGTATGTTTGGAGAATCATGTCAAGTATGAAATGTTGAATTTGAGCAAGGAAAAGAGTGAGGATGAGATTTTGAGTGAATTGATTGGTTCAAGATTGTTTTCTCCCTTCAAACCTGTGGAAAATTCACAAGTGAAGGGAGTTATTCCATTATGGGAATGTATTGTTATTGAAAATTATTCGAGAGGATTGATTCTATTCTTTAGAATTCATCATTGGATTGGAGATGGAACCTTGTTGCAGAAAATTGTTGGAACTGACCTGTTGGATAATGAGAAGGAGGCAAGTGAATATGTTCAGAGTAAATTTGACAAGATTATGAAAGGTAGTCACAGCAATTGGAATTCAGCATTGACCATTATTAATAATTTGACAGGAAAATTGAACAGGATTCCATTGTTGGGTTCTTTGGTGAGCTATTGCATTGGATTCTTTTTGAAGATTTTGGCCTTTGTTGCAACATTCTTTTTGATTTTGGGAATTGGCGTTAAGGGAGAGCCAGATACCATGTTTAGAGCTTCCAAGAAACATCCAAAATGTGGTCAAGTCACTTGTTCATTCATTTGGTTCAATGATACAGAGCAATTGAGAGATGATGAGAATGATTTGAGAAATGAAACAGACAAGTACTTTACAGTGCCAGAATTTAAAAAGGTGGCCAAAAAGTTAGATGGAAAATTGAATGACCTATTCTTGAGCTTGCTGAGTGGAGCTTCCGATCGTTACAGATTGAAACTCAGTGCCAAAGAATCATCCAACATGCAAGAGAGGGAAAAACTATTGAGCACAACAAATGCTCGAATGGGAATGGGAGTGAATATCAGATCTACTGAGAGCAAGTCACAGAGTGGCAATATTGTTGGCGTTATTTTCGGTAGCATTCCACTCAATATTCAACTCATTGAAGAGCCACAGAAGAGATTTGAAACTGTGAGGAATAACATGAATTTTGCCAAGTTCCTTCCACAGCCCTATTTTAACAGATACTTGTTGTGGTTGGGAACTGCACTTCTTCCAAAGAAGATGGCAGTTTCATTGATGAATTGGGGAGCTGCCTCAACAACCTTCACCTGTTCCAACGTTCAAGGTTTTGAAGCAGACGACAAGTTGAAATATACCATGTTGGGAAGAAACATTGTACAGGGAGCTGGTTTCATTCCATTAGTATCTGCAGTAGCTGTCAATTGCACACTCATGACATTTAACGATCGAGTTGGTTTATCAATAGTTTGCGATAAGGGAATCATTCAAGATATTCACATGTATGCTGAATGCTTTAGAGAAGAATTTATTGCTCTCAGAAAGTCATTGGATTTGTAATTTACAAATTTTTTAGGTCTTGGCCATTTGATTATTGCAAATCAGGCAAACCAGACCAAGCATTGGATTCAATACCACATTCATCAGAACCCTTCAAGATCCAGAAGTATCCTTTCTATAATAGGAAATGTGTTAAAAAAAAAAAAAAATTTTTTTTTTTGAAAACTTACCAATCCCCAAGAATTTCCCCATGAGTTAGCAACAATCCAATATGGAGTATCATGACCATCACTTGTAGTTCCCCATCCTGAAAAGTGTTAAAAAGTGCTAATTTTTTTCAAAAATTACTTACCAATTACCTTAATGGCATGTCCACCTGCCAAAGAACCGGTGACATGATGATAGACACCTGACTTATAGGAGAAGAAGTCCTTGTATACGGAGAAGCCTGATTGTATTGATCCATTCTCTTGAATATCCTTTTGGATATCTTCAATACTGTCCAAATTGGCAATTGACTTTTTGCTGACCTTGTACAATTTAATGTCAGATCCATCTTGACACTTCTTATTAAGCTTGGAGCATGATGGGACATGACCACTACCAGATTGATATGGAACACATTCATCAGATGGAATACCAGTATTTGCCAAGAAATTCCAAGCATTATTCAAGTAACCACCATCACAACCATAATCAGTTGCATCACAAGAGACCATATATTGAGGAGACAAGACAATATTGACACTTCCATTGGTGGCAATACACAATCTATCAGAGAAGGCTTCAGATGCAGAGACTATCATGATATATATATCACACACAAAATTTCACACAAAAATTACTTACAAGCCCAACATGAACCACATTCCTTTTTTTTGAATTATTTGTAAAATTTGATTTGTAAAATTTGTAAAAAACATACTTCTTGATTACGAATTTCATGAATACAATCCTCCCACTTTTCTCTAGCATCGAAATGAGAAGCAGCTTTCAAATTCTTTGGCATCTTTTTCTTTGGCAAATTATTGATTGGTGAAATAATGACAGTTCCCAAATACTTTCTAGCTTCACGAAGGGTCATTCCTTCAAACTTCTTGTAAGTGGTTGCTTTCCATCTGATAGAGGAATCAGAATTAATCTTTTGAATCAAGGATAATTCATGAACTGGCTTGTCCAAAGCTGAGAATTGACCACAGACGAAAGTTGTGGCAATTAAGAGGAAACACAATACGAAACGAATAGATTGTTGCATTTTTTTTTGATAATATCTTGTCATAGTGATGAATGAGGATGATATTTATAGATAATTGAGTTTAGATTTTTCGGAAGACGAAAAAGGAAAGCCCCATCGCCGAGTGGAACGGAACGGAGTTGTGTGTTCAAAAACATTACAAAGTATCTTACGGAGTTTAAGTTAAATTATTAATTTATTAATTATGAAAATGATTGATACAATGAGATGGGTTACTCATCATTTAAATAATTGTAGATACACTCGAAAGAATCATCCCCTTAACATTCTCCTCAATTGATATTCCTTACTCAGGTTCTTCACTTTCGTCTTGATTTTCTTCCAATAATTCAAGTGATTCCTTTCTAAAATATTCCAAATCTTCCTCTCTTATAAATTTCATCAATTTGGAGTTTCATTCTCTCCAATCAGGATTAGATATATTCGAATGTTTGAAAAATAGTGGACTATTTCCAAATCAATTCTTCAACTAGAGTTTCTCATAGAGTGTTCTCTCCTATCCATATTTCTGATGATAATGTTTGGAATTTTGAAAATCTTATGATGATTGAAAAACTACTTGAACAGAACCATCTACCTATTTAATTACTAGATGGTGAAATGTAGCCCAGATAGAAATTCTGGTAAAAGTCTTGGCAGGAAACATTTATTCTAAATCATGATGTTTAAAAACAAATTGATCCAGTTTCGTCTGATTTGACTTTCTTTGCTAGAAGAATTCTCACTTCTTTTCTTTTTAATGATGAAACAGAATAATAACAAAAAACTCCAACAACTATTGCTGCCAAAGGAATTAACTCTGGAATTACCAAACAACAAACAAGTCCTACTCCAATCTTCCAACTTTCTATTAGAAACTTGCCTAATCTTCCAAAAGCTTCCAAAAAACCTGGAATTCTGCATCCAGTTTCAGGAATTTCGCCTCCCTGATCACAAACTTGTGTAGCTAATTCTGAAATCAACATGTCATGAAAACCCATAGTTAGTTCTGAATCGACATCAGCACATAAATACAATTGTTCATGTTTCGAATAGATATCTCTTGCTTGTATCAGAGACGAAACATTAATTCTCTCACCTTCTTTTCCTTCAAATCCAATTAGTGGAATAAGACTGAGTCTACAAAAAGAAGAATAATGATAAATTCCGTGTTTGTAAAGTCGGTCAACTAATTTCTTCTTTTCATAATAATGACTCAAACTATTCGAAAGCTTATTGTCCGTTTCGAATAGTTTCTTCAAAGCACCAAAAATACCTAAACCATTAATATATCTTCTTTCATTACCATTGAAATACTTTGAAAAACCAGAACTTTTGGAATTGACATGTAAAACACGTTGAGAAATAAGGTTTCTGAAATTCTCAAAGACTGTTTCGTATGGAATATCGAACTGGTTGACCAAATCCAACAAGTTTCTAACCAATGAATTCCTTGTAAATATTTCATCATCACCAGAAACCAAATACGTTTTCATGTAACCACAAAATTTTCCATCACTTGATAGATCAGTATAAATAATTGTGACATCTTGACAGCCATCAAAAGTTTTTTCCAATTCAATTTGAGCAAGAGATTGGTTTTCAAGTGGTGGCATTATTTTCTTGTTAAATACCAATTGAACATTAATGTTATCTCTGAATTGAGGGTTGACTTGATTAAGGAATGGAGATTCTTGACAAGAGAAGGTTGTAGAAAGTAAATCATCTGATTCGAATTGGTCATTGTAGTAGTACCTTACTTTTGCCATTTTTTTTTGCTTGCCAAATAAATAGGCAATCAAGTTAATTTATTGACTGGTGACTGGAAATCACGTTTCGCAAACGTGATCTTAGTGCGAAACGTGACTAACTTGTCTGTAGTTGTTTGTATTAAAATAAATTTGTATAAAATTCGCAATTTTGTTAACAATTTTTTAAAAAGTTTATTTTTTGTTTTTTTTAATTTCTTTCGTTTTCTTTATTTGTAACTTTACAAAAAAGTTGAATAGCAATTACCAGAAAAACCATCAAGCTTAATACAATCGGTAAACGATTTATAGTCAATATCCAAAGATAGGTTTGCACAAGATTCAACAATTTGTGAACTAGTGGACGAATTGACAATTTCAGTAACCAAATTTGGTTGGTTGAGTGTGTTTACAATATACGCAATACATGTGCCAGTAATTAAGAAAAAAGATGATGTAAAAAAGACAGTACCTAGTTTCTGTTCTTGTTTCTTGTTATTCTCCTTTTTTGGAAATACAGGTTGAACACAAATTGGACATTTTGTGTTTTTTCCATGAATTTCTGTTAGTTGATCAAGGCAATTGTCGTGTATGAAGTGTTTACAGGCAAGGATTCGATTTCCTCCTTCCTCTAATACTCCTTCTAAACAGATAGGACAGTGGCATTCTTTCGAATAGTTTTTCAACATTTTCGAAACTTGTTCCTTGTCTCCAAAATCAATATTTGTTTGAGAGGGATCTTCCTTCTTCAATTTTAATACTATTTCTCTCAAAACATTCAATTGTTTCGAATTATAGACAACAGGTTCAGTAATGGTGAGAGTGTTCGACATTTTTTTTATGAAGAATTTATGAAATCACGTTTCGGAAAAATACTTTTGTTTGCTTAGATTGCTATCACGTTTGATATATTGATTTGAAACTGTGTTGATAAGACTTCACTTTTCTTCTGACAAGGATTTTTGATTGGATTTAATTTTCTGAGAAAATTCCCTTAATATATATAAGTTGTACTCAAAGGCAGAATTGACCATAAAAATGTTATGAAATGTATCTGAAGAAAATAATCATAGCGTAGATGAATTCCAACTAAGGAAAACTTTCAGTTTTGGATTGGTAATATTCACTTTACTGTTATAGTAATTTTCTTTTTTAATTTGAAATTCTGCCATTGGTAGAACACAAAGAAATTGAAACTATTCGAAACACTCAACAAAAAACTAATGGTCAAACTAAAGGCAACTGTTTATCCTTGGGAAACCAGCACTCTATTCGATCCTCCTTCCATTGGAACGGATCGAATCTACTTTAAAGTTTTTAACAATGGCAAGTTTTATGAAGCCTCAGTTCGTTTACGAGATTTATTGGATGGTGAATCAAAGTATCTTGATTTGAAATGTGAGGGTTGGCAGATGGGTACTTTGAAAGTCAAGTTGATAAATGAATATTCATATCAATGTTTCATTCCTCCACCACCTCCAATGTGTCCATTTCCACAACCTGTGAATGGATATGGTTATTGTCAACCAAGTAGTAATGCTCAACAACTTGTCATATATCCACCACCACCACCACTACAACAGCAACAACCAATGTATTCTCAACAAGGTCAATTACCAAATCCAATGTGGTATCCACAAAATCAAATGTTCAATCCAATATATCAACAACCATCTCAATCTTGTTATGGATACAATCAACCATTCTACTACTAATAATAATTTCTTGATAATAAATATTCAATTTGTAAATATGTAAATTGTATTAAGGATGCTGATTTGAAAGGTTTAATTATCTTCCTCTTTCAAATCAGAAACAATCTTTGCAGATTGAGCAATAACCAAGTCCTTCTTAATTTCTTCCAATTCCAATAAAAGTTTTCTATTTTCCTCGAGAATGGTTTCACTGCTGGTTTGGCAAGTGGTAAATTGGTCCTTAATTTTGGTCAATTCGTTTTGTAATTGTTCATTTTGAGTATGTTCTGTTGAATGTTGGGTCGATGTTTGATTGAGTAATTGCCTTGTTTCGTTCAATTCTTGTTCTAAAGTTTCAATGGTGAGTTTGTTTCGTTTTTGTTCTTCAACATGTTCTAATTTCAAATCCACAAGAATGGTCGACAAGTTTTCTGATCTTTCGATAGATTCATTCTTTTTCTGCTCAATTTCTGAGATGGTATTCGAATAATCTCCAACTTTGGAAACTAATTCTTGTTTTTCTTGATTGAGGGCTTCAATTTTCTTTTCCAATGAAGAAACTTTGAGAACTAGCTTTTCAACTTGCTTATCATTGAGGAGTTTGGACTTTTCTTCACGACAAACGCTGAGAGCACTGAAACATTCCTTTCCTTCCACTTCCAAATGTTTGGATTTTGACATTATTTCTTCCAATTCCTTTTGAGATTTTTGTTGTTTTTCTAATTTATCCAAGAGTTGTCCAATTCTTTCACGAAGGGATTCGTCTCCTTTAAGAGTTTCATTGAATTGATTCAATAAGCCACCAATAGTGTCAATATTCTTTCCAGTTTGTTGTAATACTTCAGCTTGCTTGAAAAGCTTTTCACGTCCAGAAATCAAATCGGTGTAGGTTGAATTCTTGAGTTCTTGAATTTGTTTTTCCATTGTTGTCTTTTCCTTATTCAAGAGTTGAATATTTTCTTCAAGGGAAGGAATTTTCTTCTTGATTTCATTCTCAAAATCCTTTGATTTTTGAGTGAGCTTGTTATTGGAATCTTCTAATTGAATATTCTTCAAATTGATAGCCTTATATTTCTCAAATTCCTTTTCCAAATCACTTTTGAGATTAGATACAGATCGTTGATAATTCACCACTTCTTCTGTCAATGATTTTTGCTTGGATTCAAGTGATGAGATGGAAACTTGCTTTTCTCTTATTAAAACTTGCAGTTTGTCATTTTCTGCTTGAGATTTTTCAAGGGACATCTTGTATTCCTTCTCCTTTTCTGAAATGGTTCTAGACAAGATTTTGGATTGATTTTCAAATTCACCAATGGTATTCTTCAGCTCAGTAATTTGCTTTTCCAACTTGTCAATTTGTGCATTTACAATTTTCTTTTCTTGCTCTTGGAAAATTGATTTTAACACTCTTGGTTCTAAAGGTTTCAAATGATCAGATGGTTCAACATCCAATAATTGGTAAAGCTTATCCACATCCTGTTGGTTGACCAAATGAGAATATTCCTTTAACAAATCTGACGACTTGCTGATAGTACTAATAGATTCAGAACAATCTTGTCTAAGCCACAATTGACCATAAAAATTAACTGCCTTATCGAGTGTTGTAATATTATGAAGTGTTGAAATATCGTGCAACTCTTTCTGAATTAAAATTGATTCAATCACTCGTTGAGAACATGATCCACTGTGTTGCTCTTGTTGTAATGAAGATTGAAGGAAACTTAATTCTTCCATCTTTTTCATAAAATTCAAATCAATAACTATTTCTTGATTTGATTTCAACTTTTCTAAATTCAAATTGATTTTTAAATTGGTAAAATCAATTTGTTTTTCACACTTGTTAAAAGTTTGATCTGTAACTTGTTCCGAGAGTTGGTTGGCAATTTTCTCATACTTTTCACTTGGTAGAATACTTGAAAAGAATTGTGAAACGTGTTTGGTCTTTAAACTATTCTCGACAAGTGCTAATTTACACGAAGGTGAAAGATTTCGAATAGTTTCTCTATCTTTCTTTACTATTTTACTTTCCAAAGAAGTAAATCTACTCATCAAATCTTTTATCTTTGCGTGATTCGTCATCTTGTTCATCATCTCTTTTCCATATTGTTCCGATGGAATAAAGTAGACGAAAAGACCACCCACCACACAAAAGACAACAAGTCCCAGGCATTGCACAAGCAAATCCTTTCCACTACTCGTTGCTGTTGCTGCTGTCATCTTTGTCTGACACGTGGTAATTTGTTTGTTTTTTTTGATTCAAATTTTGTTTTGGCGGTTCAGTTGAATGTTCAAAATTGGAAATATTAGGAAATCTACTTTGAATTTATAGCAATATTAAATACTATTAATAATTTGGTTTTTACATTTTGTGTTAAAATATTTACAATATATTATTCTACAATTTGAGAAATATTTTCCGATGGTATTGATTGATTTGCATTTCTCAATTCAATTACTCTATCTACAATGGTTGGAAGTGTTTGACCACTTGGACCCTTAACGAATATATAATTCGGTAATTGATTGTAATCTGTTTCTTCCAAATTGAATTCAATTAAATGAGCTCCTCTTCTGGCAGCTCTTCCAGGAAGTGAAGCAGCTGGATAGACCTTGGCACTTGTTCCAACACAAATCATGACATCTCCCTTTCTCATTCTGTCAACTGCATGGAAAGAAGGTTCCCATTGGTCCATTGGCAGGGCTTCTGTAAATAGGACACAATCAGGACGAAGTGTACTATTACACCCTGGATGTTTGCATTTTGGTGACTTGTCTGGCAAGTCCATTTTCTTTTCATCATTCTCTTCTCCCCAATATTCATCAAAATCGAAAATGTGACGTTCAGCAATACAGCAATGTCTCATTACTGTACCATGCACTTCATAGACATGAGTTGATCCAGCTCTTTGATGCAATCCATCAACATTTTGTGTAATAACTTCCATATAATCTCCAAACACTTCTTGTTCCAACTTGGCCAATGCAAAATGTCCATTATTTGGATCAGCTTTAGCAATCGGTCCATAAAATCGTTTAATATATTGTCCCCAACAAATCTGTGGTGTTATATTCCATCCAAATGGTGTTCCTAATATTATCATATTCCATCAATTCATTCATTCATATAATCATCACACGAATAATTAATTTATAAATTATTCCAATCAATTACCATCAAATAATATTTAAATAATTTTAATAATTTTAAATACAATCCAATATATCCAATATATATAAACACGAATTTAAAGACAAATCCACTCACCTCCATAAGCCAAAAACAATTTTCCCATCAATCCGGTCCATAAACCACCTCCTCCTCTGAAAGTATCAATTCCAGACTCTGCACTCATACCAGCACCAGAAAATACAACGACTCTTCTTGCCTTGTTGATCAGTTGGGCGATATGTTCCATGGTTTCTTCCGAAGCAATTTCTTCTTGTTTTTGGTCATCAGACATTTTTTATTTTTTTAAAATTGTAAACTCTATTTTTAAACTATTTAAAAACTTTACAATTTCAATATTTCAATATTTCAATAATTTAAATATATTAAGTATAATAAATATTTACACATTCATATTTATTTTGTTCTTCTTGTTACCAAAACCTTCAAATTAGAAGATGGTCTAAAGGTAATACCAGGAAGATCTTCAACCTTCTCAGCTGGTTTACTTTCATCATTCAACAATTTGAATTCATAAAATTGCAACATTCTACACAACATGATACACAATTCAATTTGGGCAAACATGTAACCAATGCATTTTCTATTACTCATATTGAATGGGAACCATGCTCCACTTGTTTGAACCTTTTGTTTGAAATCCTTATCCAAAAATCTTTCTGGAGCGAATTGAGCACCAGTAAATTCAGTGGTGTTAAAATCTTCACCGTACAAGTGACAGGCCTTGGCATTTACATAGATGCAAGATCCCTTTGGAATGCTTGTTTTTCCAATTTTGGTAGATTTGGCACAGGTTTTTACCATGGAAACGACTGGTGGATGGAGACGTAAGCATTCCATTACACAACCATGAATATAGTCCATATTGTTGTAATCATCAAAATCTGGAGCTCTCAAAACATTGTCACCTCCTCCAATTCTGATTGCTTCTTCTCTGGCCTTTTGTTGAGCTTCTGGACGCTTGGACAATTCGTACATTAACCATTGCATGGTTGTGGCAGTCGTCTTAAATATTTTGTTAAACACTTGTAAAATTAATTATAAAACACGAACCTCATGTGGTTGTCTTCTTAGCAACTCTAAACACATGTTACAGGTGGATGAATACGAAGAGTTTCCAGAATGACATAATTCATACTTCTTACATGACCATTTCAGCAGAAATGATTGTCAATTTTCAAATGGATGCAAAAGTGCTCAATATACTTTTGTTTATTCAGAAATAAAAAGTCATTTAATAAAGTTCAGTAAATATATTCTTTAATTGAAATGTTATTGTGTTTTAACTTTCTTGTTTGATTCCTTGTTTGATTTTTGCTTTCTTTTAACAGATACTATTCCTTCTATTTTTAGTATTAATCTTCTTACAGCATTTCTTGTCATACGGTCACTTGGAAACCCTAAGGAAGCAATATATTTCTTCAAGCAGAAAGTGGCAGCAGATTCATAGTTGTCCATTTCACGAATTTCCCATCTATTCCCATAACATATTTTAGCAGAAACTAGATCAGTATCAACATTTTGCACTATCATTCCATTAAACATTGGGAAGGAGTGATTACTCTTCTTGAAACAGTACATCTTCTTCATTGATTCACCTATTAATCTTTGAACTGTAAGATTAAATGGTCTAAACACAACATCTGCATTTACTTTCTTTTTCTCAAGTCCTTCACTTTCAAAAATGGTCATGTTCTTACCAGTCATTTTCAAACCTGTAGTTTCTTCACACACTTTACCCACGCCAGTCTTTAACCCAAGCATGGTTGCACAATGGTGGACCTGATTAAAGTACTGTTGGTGAGTATCTGAAATTGAACAATTCTGACCAAACGTTACACGATTACTCTCTAATGTGCCATCTCCTTGTACAGAACCTTCGAAAAATTTGTACAAGCTAAACATACCAAAATTTGTAATGTTGAAGATGGAAGAGAAATTCTTTCTAGTTTGGTAACTGCCATTATACTTATTACATAACAATTCTATTTCTTTTAAAAATCTGTGTAAGCCAGTACTATTTGTTACTAGTAAAAATGTATTGAAAGTGAAAAACATACCATGCAGGTGCAACAAGTATGGACCCGGATATTTGATAACCATTTTGTAAGACTCGTTCAATATCCTTGTCAGCATTCTTATCATTGAGCTTAATGGTGACATACTCTTCCTCTTTCTTGAATTTAAGATCCTCTCTTATTGTCTCTGAATTCAATTCACAAATTTCTTTTAAGAAATCTGTAAAATAATAGGTAAGTTCTTGCTCATTTTTGGCATTAAAATACAATTTAAAGTATCCTCCATCACCATCTGCTAAATAGGCTCCCAATAGTTGAACCATGACTCCCTGTTTGTCTTTGGAGTCAACTAGAGTTGGGAAAGTTCTGAACAAAATGTCAAAATCTTTAAAATATTATGAGAATAATTCATAAAATACTTACATTCTTTTGTTTGGGTGGTGTCAGTAAGTTGACCACATGGTAATGATGTTCTTACAAGCTTTTCCTTGGATTTCAATTGATAGTTATTAATGATGAACATATTGTCTTGAAGATCTGATACAGGTAATCTCACACTACTGCACTCATCTGGACGGACTTGAACTTGTTCGGAAAATATGAAACGTTTCTCTTCAACAATTCGAGCACATTCATTGAAATATAATTTTGCTTTGAAACAAGTAGCACTCAACTCTAATACTTCATTTGCTGGAAACAATTTACATTCTTTCATTATTATTATTCTTTGAAAATAGTAATTGAAACGAAACTTACCAATTTCTTCCACATTAAATCCAGATTCAATACTATATGTTTCATATGTTCCACTGGAAAGATAAATCTCCTCAATGGTTTTTCTGACCAATCTACCAGTTGCAACCTCACGTACACTAAATTCAGTATCTCCAGCCATGTAAGAACGATGAAATGTTTCTTCATCAACTTCATCTGCTTGATCCACCAACAAAGTCGATGCTGGAACCCCATTGTATCTACTTGTTGGGATATTGAAGAATTCGTAAAGAGAGATTTCATTCAAATCTGTCTCTGAAGTCGTTGCTTGAAAGATATCGTTCAACTTCTTTTCAATTGGATCATTCTGTCTACTTTCTAATAGCATAAACTGGCTCTGACAAGAATGAGCATCTCTGTTGCAGCTAATTAGTTTCTCAATTTTCTTCCACTTCCTTCCATGCAAATTGACTAACTCAGTCAATTCGCGCTTCTCTTCCATGGTCCAAAATGGTCTGACGCTGTTGAAATCATTAGAATCCAACCCGTGCTGTTTGACTAAATAATAAAAATGCTGTTGGCAAGCTTTAGCTTCTTTTCCTAATTTTTCCTCAATAATCTTCCATTTCTCTATTCCTTTATCGGCATATTCTTTTGCTAATTTAAGGAGATTAGCTTTCATTTCATCAGTCCAGAACGATCTTTTCCTGCCAAGATTCTTTAACAAATCCTTATACTTTTTGTGGCAGGCATTTGGAGTAACATCGAAGTTGGGAGCAATTTCAGTCCAATTGTGGCCTTTTTCCTTTACCAATTTGACCAAAAGATCTTCTTCTTCTTTTAACCAGTTTTTTCTTATCATTCTGCTATATTGAGTTCTGTGTTGGAATTTGATGTGTGTTGTTACTTGTAACAAAGTTGAGTCGAAAATAAAAGTAGTTTTTTTTTCTCAATTGTATTAATTTGCAAAGTTGTGTGGATGTCTTGAGGGACGTAGCGACGTGACTCTTCAATTCTGAGGAAAATTTGTTTGGTCTCTTTAGATATCCAATTAATGTGTCTTCCAGTTTCGGTCAATCCCTTTTCAATATATATATATATATATTCAAGCCTTATAAAAATATTAAAATATTAGAGTGTGAGACATTTCACACGACTCGAGGTTGTGTGAAAGCTTTTGTTTTTGAAAAAAAAGGAATAATCCATCATGTTGTACAATACATATTTCAACAAGTGGTGTTTAGTAGAAGAATTAGTAAAGAAGAAATTTTATAGTGAAGTTGTCAGTGATTTCTGTTATTTGGATATCAAGCTAAGGAAGGAATTGACATCTTTTTGGCTTGGTAACGATCCTATCAATCAAGATGATATTAATGGATTATCAGCAGATTACTCTTGTGATTATTTTGCACTTTGTCTCTTACTTTTGATTTTTAAGGAGAAGAAGCATGATGACTTTTTATCCATGGATAGTAAATTAGAAGATTTGGCAGATTTACTTGAAATGAACCCTTCTTTGATTTATTTCAAAGAGTTGGAACAATGTAATAGTGAATTCAATTTCCAAGCATTTGTTGGAGAGTTTAGTAAGAAGGGAAAAGTGCTTTCACAGACTAGTAATTCAACATTGTTAAACTTGTTATTAAACAATGATGACATTGACCTTTACTCTTACACCAATGAGAGATATGAATTGGTTCAACCTTTATTGATTATATCAAGTGCAGAAACTCAGATGGAAGAACAAGTTGATGTATTTAATGAACCATTGATTCTAACAGAAGATGATGCACTCACTGATGATGATTCTGTCGAAATGGCTAGAGCAGATCAAGATGGATACTCATCCGTTAGTGAAACTCAAAGTATTGTTTTCCCATATGATGATTTGCCATCTCTAAATGAAGACACGCTTTCCAGTCTTGTAATCAAACCAGATGTTAGTGGTTTGAATTTAATTGTGGAGTATGAAAAGAAGGAATCTGCAACTATAGCAGATGATGAAAGTATTGATTTTAATGAGAAGGAGGAAGAAGAGATATTTGACACCTCAAAGGAAACAGTTCTTCTCATCAATCGTTACAATGAGAATGGTTATATTGAAGAGGAAGCCATCATAGAACCACCTGTTAAGGATGTTATTCAATTGAATGAAGAACTTGATGCCTTTGAAATGGAGTTATTCTTTGAAAAGCAAATGGATAAAGATGATTGTAACAAGTCTGATGAAGGTCCTCCAATTTGGTACAATATTTGCTTTGGAAATGCTGATCATTGTGAAGTTGAAGAGGATGATGAAGAAGAAGATGTTGAAGAAGATTCTTCAGATAGAGGTGGTATTAGTTCTGATTCAGAAAATGATCATAATGTCCATAGACCTATTAAGAAATCCAAATATTTCAAATAAATATAGTTGATTGGAGGAGATATAAAAAGTATTTGTTATGGTGTTTGTTGTAGCTGTGATGGTTATTGTGAGGTACCATACTTGTCAGACACTGTAGGTACGTGTTGAGCACCTTACAAGTCCTTGTAAGGGTACTTGTGATGGTCCAAGTACTTGTGACGGTACCTGTGATGGTACCTGTGATGGTACCTGTGATACCTGCCAAGTACCTGTGATGGTACCTGTGAGGAAATTCAGATACCTGTGACGGTACCTGTGATTGTACTTGTCAGGTACCATTTGCACCTGTGACGGTACCTGTGATGGTACCTGATGGTACCTGATGGTACCTGTGATACCTGCCAAGTACCTGTGACGGTACCTGTGATGGTAAAAATCGTACCTGCCAAGTACCTGTGACGGTACCTGACAGGTACCATCACCACTTTACAAGAATACAATCAGAATTGCACAGACACAATTCAATTTACTCATTACCAATCTACTTTTTTAACTCTTTGATCAATTCTGTCAATCTTCTCTTCTTTTCAGTAATAAAATTATACTCCATTGTTCTCTTTTCAATAGTTTTATCAGCAATCATTGCATAATCATTCTTAACTTGACCAAAAATTTCATCCACTAACTCTGTAAACTCTGCAAATCGATTACTTACAGCCTTACTTGACCAATCAATAAGATGTTTAGATACATTTTCATACCATGAGTTAAAACACTCTGCATTCCTATCTACCAATCCATTGTTAACAATTTCAAAATCAATACATAAAAGATTTCTCTCCTCAATTCTTGAATTTAATCTTTCCAAAAATGATTCCTTCATTATGAAACTGTACATTTCCAAAATATCTTTGGAAATATTAACGGTACTTTCCACATAGCATGCTGTAACATCTCCTAATAATTGAAGAATGTTCTTCAAGTGGAATAATATCTTTAACCAAAATCCACGAATCAAACCATTGATGGCACCAGTGACCATCTTTAAGAACACCTTCTGATTTTCAATACTCATGACCTGCAACTACGAAGATGTAACTGTTACTCTTCAATTCATTGAGTGTGAGTTTTTCATCCATCATGTTTGCCTTAACAAGGAGCGACAATAAATCATTCATTGGTTTTTCTGGATCTTGTTTGAATTCGGCTACTCTTTGAGAAATGCATTGTTCAAGCTTTTCACTCATCACCTTGAGAGCTTCTGTATTTCCAGTATAATCAGAAACTGCATTGTAAAGGAATGGGATTTTAGCAAGGAAGAATCTGGCATAATAGTCAACTCTCACGACAATATTCAATGCTTCTCTAAACTTTTTAGAATCAGAGCTAGTTTCATCGAAAACACCAAAATCCATACCAAATCCACTTTCACCAATAATTTGAAGAGTGACAGCTGTAGTATCTTCCATATCCATAATGAATCCCTTACTATCCTGGTCCAATAACTTATTCCACTTTGTTCTAAACAATGCATCAACTGTCTTTACAGTCACTTGACTCATAAAAACCAAATTACCAGTTGAGAATGAAGGAGCCACCACATGTCTATGATTCTTCCAAACTGGACCATCGGCAGCTGTCAAAATTGAAGTAGCATCCTTATCGAAAATATTGAAAGGTTCATAAAAATCCAAAGGTTTTGGAAAGGATGATGATTTTGTAACTAAAACTTCCTTCACTGAATCCTTATCCCAAATTACATAATTATTTCTATAGGGAGTACTGACACGAATAATCAATTGCTTTTCATCACTTCCCTTAGCTCTCTCTTCCTCCTTAGCAATCAATCCTTGAATCACTGGGAAATTACCATGAGCAATATAGGGCGAAAGAATTGGCATGATAAACAAGCCTTCAGCCAATAATTGCCAATAACCAGGAGTTCCACCAGCCTTGCTTATTTGTCTTTTCAATTTCATAATTAATTGCAATATTCTCATCAGGACAATTCCTATTAAAAGAGTGGCAATCCACCATCCATAGGAAATTGATCCATCATTACTCTCTTGACTAGTCATTTTGTGTTCACCTTCTCTTTCAAATTATTCTCTAACTTTCGGAAAAAGATGAAAGATTTGTACAGTTAACAATTGGAGATTTTTTTTCTTTTTGTTTAAAAGTAATACGGTGGAGAGATTTCATGACATGATATTAATTGAAGTGCACTAGGATCGTAGTGCTGGTCGGACTAGTGTTTGGTTGATGCGCTTGGTTGTGAAGGAGATCCTCAGGTTGCATTTAGATAGAATTGGACAGAATTGAGTATGGTTGGACGCTGTTGCGATTGGAATGGAGAATATATTGAAAGTGTGTGAAATAATATCAGTGAAATATTAAATGTTTATAATAGTTGGTTTAAATTAATTGTTGAAATATTTACAATTTGGACTCATAATCTGGAGTATATACATAATCCTTAACAATTTTAACCCATTCTTCTTCAGATTTTGGTAATTGTTCTTCAGTCAATTGAGAAAGACCTTCCTTAACACTTTGTTTACCAACTTGGACAGCAATCTTTTGAGCAATTTCTCTGATATTTGTCAAACTTGGATACAACAATCCATTGTCCAATCTATCTTGGCTTGTGAGATCGGCCAAAGTTTGAGCAGCTCTCAAAATCATAACATCAGAAACGTGCTTTGATCTGGTAACGACAGCACCAAGACCCAAAGCTGGGAAAATGTACAAATTGTTACCTTGACTCAATTGATAAGTCTTTCCATTGTAAGTAACATCTTCGAATGGAGAACCAGAAGCAAAGATAGCTCTTCCACTTGAATATTCAATAGCTTCCTTGGCAGTACATTCAGAATTCTTAGTTGGGTTGGACAAGGCAAAAACGATTGGCTTTTGGTTAATCTTGGCCATTTCTTCAATGATATCTTGAGTGAAAACACCAGATTGACCACAGAGACCAATGAGAGCAGTTGGTTGAGTCTTTTGAACAATTTCCAAAAGAGATTTGGATTGGAAGTTACCCAAAGTTTCATCACCCTTCTTGGCATACTTCTTCTTGTGATGTGGCATTTCTTCGTAATCAGAACGAGTTTGTGTAACTAATCCCTTAGAATCGACCAAATAAACCCAATGTTCAGACATGGCATCAATTTCTTCCTTGCTCAATCCATCTTCTTCAGCTTGCAATTTCATGACACCAACACATTGATCAGCGACACCAGTGGCAGCAGAACCAGCTCCCATAAATAATAATTTGTGTTGATAAGTTCTCTTACCAGTAATCTTGGCAGCATTGATGAAACCAGCAACAATGACAGCACCAGTACCTTGGATATCATCATTGAAACACAATTGTTCATTACGATATTGATCCAATAAATCGAAACAGACATCATTTGAGAAATCTTCGAATTGGACTAAACAATTTGGCCATGTAGTCTTGACAGCAATCATAAATTCCTTCATGAAATCAAAGAATTCTTGTCCACGAACACGCTTTCTCTTCAATCCCAAATATAAATCATCTTCCAACAATCCTGGATTGTTAGTACCAACATCAATGCAAATTGGCAAAGTCTTATCTGGATGGAAACCAGCAGCAGCAACATAGAGATTCAATTTACCAATTGGAATACCCATACCATTAGCACCCAAATCACCAAGACCCAAAATACGTGAACCATCGGAAACGACAATAATATCTGGTTGCTTTGGTTCCCAATTCTTCAAAATTGCAGAAATTGATCCCTTATCTTCCAATGAGATGTACATGCCTTGAGCAACTCTCCAAATTTGGTCGAATTGAAGACAAGCATCACCAACAGTTGGTGTGTAGACTGTTTATAATGTTAAAAAGAGTGGTAAATGAATGTTGTGTTTTGTTGTGGTGGTTCCGAAGCATTATTATTTGTATTAAGCAAAATAACAAGTAAATTTCACACAGATGAGAGAGAATGTGTTAAAAACTTTGGAATGCAAAATTATTATCATCAACTTACCAATTGGCAACATTTCAACCATGTTATCAATCAACAATTTAAAGAACAAGGTTTGATTTCTACCTTGCAAACTCATCAAGTAAACATACTTGTCCAATGGATTTTTAAAGTTACGGAATTGTCTCAAGCATCTCACCAATTGATGAGTAATGGTCTCAACGTGTGGTGGCAACAATCCACGAAGACCCAATTTTTCACGATCCTCCACTGTGAATGCGGTATCCTTATTCAACATTGGATTGTAGAGGAAGTGATTTGGAGCAAGTGCATACAAGTCGTTCTTATTCATTATTTCTAAGAGTTGTTTGGAGGGAGTTGTTGTTTTTTCTTCTACTTCTTTGAGAGAGTTTTTAGTACTATTTTGGTTGGTATTAATCAAGGTAGCAGTTGCAGAGGAAGAAGCAGAGGAAGAAGCACCAGAAGCATCATCATCACGATTGTCAGTAACAGAACAAGAGCCGTAGTAGTTGGGGGTGGTCGATTGATTCGGGGAGTCCAAAGTCAATGAATTTTGGTATTGTTGCAATATTTGGTCGAGGTTGTTTTTGGTGGTGAGAGAAGGATCATTATTCATCGGATTTAAAGTTGTGCAACGACAGGAAAGTTCAAAAATTGGTTCAGCATCATTAACATCAGCACGATGGTTATGAGTGGAGGAAGATTTGCAAGTATTTGCATTGTTAGAGTGGTGGGAATTTAGACAAGCAGCAAGGATGGAAGATTTGATATGAAATTGGAAAGAGGAAGCATTCCGATATTGCAAGGATTTTTCAAAGTTTTCATTCGGAGCAATGGCAAGTATTTTGAAAGAAGAATACCACGAATAACAAACAAAGAACAACAAGAGCCCAATAAGAAATTTCATCGATTTTTTCAAGATTTTGGTCAATTGGGTTAAGAAAGGAGAGGAAATGCAATATTGAATGGAATGTTGATAGAGAAAGAACCAATTGAGTGTTTTGGTGACGATCAACACAGAGAGTAATGCAAGAAAAAGGACCAATATTAAAGAGTCCATATTTGGAAATTAATCCAAAAGTGTTTGACAAGATTTTTCATCACGACAATTTGCATACAAAGTGTACAATATCATCATTGATGATCATGGTAGTATTAATATGATCAAGTTAATTAGGTATCGGATGATGATCATTATTATTATCATTGGATCATTAAAATTGCAATTTGTAAATTTTTACAAGCAAATTGGTGAAATGTAGAAATTAATATCTTGCCAAGATATTTAAGAATGATGACTTACATAGTGTGTGATCAGAGTCTTTTCTAGCAAGCAAATTAGCGGCCTACTTGTTACTACTCATGAATTTTTTTTCGAAACGTTAAATCTTCAAGTTTGCAATTTTCAACAACTGGTTTCTTCTCAATAGATCGGAGATCGTACGCACGCATTGAACGATCACATGTTGTAAAGTTAAGCTCACTTTTCACACAGCCTTTTTGATTTTTTTACACTAGAGTACATGACACACAAGGTGGAAGGACCATTAATATCTTTGAACTTGTTGGATTCTCAAACATATTACAAACTAAACTTCAATTTTCATATTTGAATTTACAATTAATTTTTTATTTCACTTCATTTAACGTTCTCTCTTCATGCCACCTCCACTCTCGGATGAACTGCTCGATGTTGGATTTGTAAAAGCTGGTGGTGATGAGAAACTATTCTTCAAGAATGAATCAGATGGATCAAAAGGGAAACTTGGAAGTGGTGATTTTGGATTAAAAATTGCTGGTTGGGAATCTGACGAAACCACTGAAGGCAATGTTGGGTTTTCTCCTCTCTTATCGTCTTTAATGAAAACATCAATTGGGAAAGGTGCAAAAGTTTTAGGTGGTTCAACAGGACGTGGCTGAATTGCAGAACTAGGGAGGAATGGAGAAAATGTTTGACTATCAGGTGGCATTGGGAACTCAGGTGACAAATGTCCAGCTCTAGTCAATTTACTTTCAAGTCTATTCAACTTTTCTTCTAATGTGTGAACTCGTTGTAGTAATTCATGATAAGTTGGTTCATTCCTCGATGGTTGATAAGGCACGTGATGATGATGATGACTAAGAGAAGGAGAATCGTGTAGATTTGGTACTTTACCATTCTCTTGATGTTGAATATTGTTTGAGGGGAAATATCCTGTTGATGAGTGAACAATTGAAGCAGCTGGATTTGAAGGAACTCTATAAGTGTTTGGTGTATTACCACCTCCTGGACTATTATTCCTTCTCTTTTTAGGAGGAAGACCAGCATGCTCATTTGTACTTGGTGAATTTGGTTGTACAATATTTGGCATATTTGGCCATTGTGGATTATGATAATTTTCACGAGGAGGATTTAAACTTGAAGATGGAATTGTTGGTGGATGAGAAAGTTGTTGTGCATGATGATGCAAAGAAAGATTGGAAGTTTCATGTGATTGAACAGAAATTGGTTGTTGTTGAGGTGGTTGATGAGATGGCAATGATTGTTGTGGAGTTTGTTGCTGTTGTTTCTTGAACTTTCTCACTTCCATCTCTGTTCTTGTTCTAGATCTTATCCAGAACAAGTCACTCACAGCAATAATATGTTCTCTCTCTGTTCCTTTAAATCTAATAACTTGAATTTGTCCAGTCTTTGTTTTACAATCTCTTCCCCTAACACGAGGAACCTTGAGGGAGGAAACAATCTTTCCTTTCTGAACATTTTCTTGACAAGGTTGTTCCGATAATAATTCAAAAGACTCTAACATTCCTGCCTGTGAAAAATCAGTAACAAAATCACCATCAAGTGAATCTTCTTGATCCTTCTTCTTATTCTTCTTTTTCTTCTTCTTTCCATCATCCAAATCATCATCCTCCGAGTCTAAACCATCATCTTGATCACTGACTCCTTCCTTTCTCTTCTTTTTAGCATTCTTTCCCATCAAATGAACCAATCTCGCAGTACAATTTTGAAAAACACCTGGTTGATTCGACATGTTAACCAAATCACAAGTAACTACTAATACATCACTCACGTAGACACTGTGAGTTGTTTGTGGAGCTCCTCTTCTATCATTTGGCTTAAATCCATGAGGTTCACAAGTTAGTGTTGTGTTATCGTATGAAAAAATTCCTTCTGGAACTTTTAATGTTGAATTATAGACACGTAATTTTGGTTCGGATGAGTTAGTTTGGTTACTGTTTGGTGAAGAGTAGGATGATTGTTGTTGTTGTTGGTGTGGAGGATTCAAATAATTTGATGAGGATGATGATGACGGAGGAAGTGGTTGATAGTGTTGTGGTGGTGGAGGTTGATGATGATGATGTTGTTGATAATTGGAAGGTACATGGAAGGAATTGGTGGCAGAGGAGGATGAGTGAACTTGGTGAAAGGACGGTATTCCAGATGAGGGCTGCATACTTGGCTGAATGACAAAGGGTTGTTGTTGCATTGAACTTTGTTTAGAATAACTAGGAGCTCCAACTTGATATTCTGCTATTGTTGTTGGTGTTGTTCGTTGATGGAGAGAAGTTGTTGGAAAATTGTTATTATTTCTCTCCACGTATTGGTGTTGTTGGTGATAGTTATTATTATCGTACAGATGATAATTGCTATTTCTTCTTCCGTGCAATGGTTGTTGTGAAGACGAACCTGTAGCAAAATTTAAAGAAGGTGAAGTTGAACTTGTGGAGGTATTCTTTTGATTAATTATTTGTAGCGAAGGGTTGTTATAATTTTGGATATTCCTTGCTTCGTGGCTTGGCAACAAGATTGAAGTAGTGCTTGGCAACGTAGTACTACTACCCTGATGAGAAGGATAATAGTTCTCTCTCAAATATTGTTGTTGCTGTGGTTGTTGCTGATGATGATAGACACGATAATCTTCTTCTTCTTCGTCTCCTCTTTCTTCTCGTTCAACAACTGATCCTAAGTAAGAAGCGCTGCTAGGTGGTTGTGTACTTCTATTCTTTTGGCGGTATTGAGTGCCGTAAACCAAGTTCGCTTGTTCTTTTTGAATTTCTGCGGATGATAGATTGTTGCTGTTTTCCTTCAAGCCTTTCCAATTTTCGATATTATGATTATTTGTCATCATTATGGAATTTTGTGATGGATAGGAGTGATGATAGTAAGAAGCTCGTTCTCCTTCTCTTTCATTATTGTGATGATAGGATTTGTAGTGTGTTTGTTGTTGGGAATGTTCTTGTGTTCGCACATTACTTTCTATGGTGTTGGGGAAATTGTCCTCCATCATATTATTACTCTCATTCACGGATGAAGATTTAGTAGTAGTAGGTCTTGTTGGAATTGGATATTGATAAGAACTAGGTGGAGGAGGTGCAGTTGATGAAGATGTTGTTGTTGTCATCATCAGTGATCGGTCTTCATTATTATTGTTAATATTATTATTGGTTGGTAATGTCGCCGAATTGATGGTTCTAATCCTCACTGGTGAATAATCTAATTGATTGTTAATGTTATTCGGAGGAGAGGAATATAATTTCGACATGTTTTGTTGTTGTGATGATGTACCAACTACTGCAACAGTTGATTTAAGTGGAGGTGAAGGACTCGGATCAGGTAATGCAGGTGTTAATCCACTATTATTGAATGAAAGCATGTAAATATTATTATTATTATCATTATCTTCCTCTATATTATTATTATTATTATTGCTATTATTATTATTATCTATATTGTTAATGGTATTATTATTATTATTATTATCCGCTTCAGATATTGATGATGATTGTGGTTGATGAGTTAGTACTACAGATACTTGTTGTTCTGAAACTTGCATGTTGAAATCCAATTGATAATTTGTGTGTGTGAATTTAACAAGTTTTTAAATGTTTACGCAAGTTCAGGTTTGAATTCAGCAATTTTCTTTTTTGGCGGCAAATTTTTTGTTCGGTTATTAGTTTTACTGCTCACAGAGATTTTTTCGTATTCTCCGATTTTGTGTTTAAATATTGTCAATGGATGTTGATCAACAACAATTGTTGTTGTGCCGCCTGTTGATGATGTGAAGAATAATCCACTCTACTTTCGAATAATTTAGAGAGAAGGGTCTATAGATGTTTTTTTTGACTGTGAATAAGCTGATGACAGTGCAAATTTGGTTGTTGCTGATACTAGTATAGTTTTGTCCAATTCGGCAATGGTAAGTGCTAATCAAAAAATATATTCAATATTAAATTGAACGATAACGAAACCTTCAACGTGAGTGTGTTGAGTTTCGTATAAAGTTACTGTATTGTGTGGTGGATACTTTTTTTGCACGATTGTCCATCCAATTTCCTTTGAAAATTCAATCAAAAGTTGGTATTGGAAATTGTAGAATTGTAACCGGTTCAGAAATTGTTCGAACTGAAGAATTTAGGAGAACCAAGATGAGCTTTTGTGAAGTTCTTGGTGTGTTCTCTAGAAAAGTCGAAACAAGCTTGCAACACTCAATTCTGAAAATGCAAGAAAAACAATTGTGTGGAGTTTCGGCAAGAAGCGAATAGTAGTAAAAGTGTCCTCTGCAGTAATTCCTAGATTCTTTTGGGCCACTATGAGAGCGAGATTAGCAAGGTCTGAATGAACTTGTTTTTTTGACACGTTTATTGGATTGAAAAAGCCTCACACATGTGTGCACATTCGAATAATTTAGCATTCGATTACAATATTAGAAGGAGAGCCCATCGAATGGACCAATCTATTTGGGGATTATTAGATACTTCTCAATAGCACACCTATTCTCCTCAGGACTTTGTTTGAGGATAACAAGGAAGGCACTTTCAATGTTTGGAAAATTGTGTTGTAAAGTTCACATATTTAGCCTCGTTTTAAATCTTTCGAATAGAAACATGCACGAAATAGGATGAGGTTGGTTTAAGAAGGTGTTCAATCATCACTGCAAAGAATTGTGAAGTTTTATTGAAAACATTCAAAGTGTGCGAAAGGTTATGAAAGGTTTAGAATAGTTTATCTACATGCATTCAAGTGCTATTTTTCGGTTGGCCATGATTCGTGTTAGTATCACATGAAAGAATAATTATTTCCTAATGAATAGAGTGAGAAAGATAGAGCCTGTTGTGTTTCTTCTTCTTTCGTTTCTTTGTTATCAGAATTGATGGAGGAATTATCAGAAACCACACCATCACTGCACTAATCAACACACTAATAGCTCCACACATCAAAGTCCAAGCAACATTTCCATTCGAAAGTATCGAAATCACAGGTCCAAATGAGCTCATCACCAACTGTGGAACAACAATGAAAATATTCAGCAATCCCATAAAAGTTCCCTTTTGATCCTTATTAGCAATGGTTGCAACTAGAGCAAATGGAATGGTATTGCTCACTGCCCATGGAAATCCAAAGGTTGAGATTAATAGTAAGGCCAGGATTTTGTTCTTGACAAATAAGGTAGCTCCAAGACAACCGGCAAGGACCAATTGACTAAAGAAAAATGTTGCCTTAAAGCCAATTTTGTGGCACAGGGAAGGAATCATAAAGGAAAAGATGATGGATGATCCAGCAAATCCAGCCAATCCAAACGAGCCGAATTGAACTCCTTTCACATAGAGATTATACGAAGGTTCCTTCTCATCACTCTTTCCATGGAAAACATTCTCACCAACCCAAGTAGTAATATACACAAGGAATGTAAACCATCCCAGATATGAGAAAAAGTTTACAATGCAAACTCTCCACATGGCTTGAGGTAGGGAGAAGCAACTCCTGACATAGTTCCATAATTGATTGACTCGGACAATGTGGAGAGAGACAGCACGAGTATCTGGAGGAAAGATTGTGTGTTCTTCCTTTTCCTTTTCAATATTGTGTTCGAGTACCAGCTCTCCAGAAACTTCCACTTGTTGAGGACGATCTGATTGAGTAATTTCTGATTCTTCTTCATCAATGAAAGGTTCCAGAAGTGCAGCATTCTGATTTGAATTGTTAAAGTTTGGAGAAGTCAACTGAGGTTGGGCTTCACTTTCTTCTTCTTCATCAATTTGGGAAGAGGTTGTGTGGAGCATTGGTTCACTTTTTGATTTGAAAAGATTAGTTTCCATTCCACTTTCTGATTGATTTTCTGGATTTTCAGTTTTGGTTTCTTCACCAATTAGTCGATTCTCTTCATCCCTTCTTTGGGTATGTTTCTTATGAGTTGGCTCCTCACGAGCTGCTAACAAGGTCACAACGAAAGTAAAGAGAAGAAACATGATACTCTGTAGGAAGCAAATCTTCAAATTCTGGCAACCTTCTGAACACACTTCAGTTTTGAAAAATGGAATATATTCAGACCACTTTACAAAATCATTCCAACTTTCGAATAATCCAATTTCGAATAACTACTTACCCTTATAAAACCAGCCAAATATCCCAAAATATTTCCCAATCCACTCCAAAACGTCAATGCAGCATTTCCAAATGCCTGATTCTTATGAGATGCCATATCAGCAACCAATGCTCTCGTCGGCCCTTGTAATGTATTATTACTCACATCAAGAATCCAAAATCCAATAATTGCCAAAGCAATTGCCGCTGGATGATCATTAGTTGGATCTCCCATGGCATGACCCAGATCGAGACTGAATGGAATGAGGAGAAGGGACATGACAATCATGATTGTACCAACTATTAGAAAGGGACGTCGTTTTCCTAGTGGACTTTTACAACGATCACTTAGAACACCAACTAAAGGTTGAATGATGAGACCAGAGACTGGGCCACAGAGCCAAATGAGAGTGATTAGATTTTTGGAGAGACCCAGTTCGAGAATGTATGGTGTTAAGAGAGCAATTTCTATGAATTTTGCATGTTTTTGTTAGTATTGGAAATGAGACGAAACTTGTGGAAACTTACGAAGTGCCCAACCAAATTGCAAACCACTAAAGCAAGCAGTGGCGAGAAATATTCTCATTTTGGATGCCTTCTTTGGTTTTAACATTTTTTCCTCTGCTTTCTTATTCAAATCAAAGTAACTGTCGAATCGAATAGCGGGTTGGTTGCCAATTAGTCTTAGTTTTTTAGATTTGTTAAATCCCAACAATCTAGAAAGGTTGTGAGAGTGTAACAGTAAAGTATCGTCCGAAGGAAGTGTGTGGAGATGATGCACAGGTTGATTAGTTTGATTCGTTTGAGTTTCTTCCTCAATTACCTCTTCAACAAAAGTCAATGAAGGTGCTTTTTGTAAATTATCTGAAACTTTTGGAGTTATACTTGCAGGTTGTTGAGAAGTACTCAATGCTGGATTGTTTTTTTCCTCATTCGAAACCTCTTCAGATGATGGAAACATTTTTATCTTTTGAAAAAAACGAAACTTTCCTTTCCATTTTTCTAGTAATATTCCAAATCTGAAAGATTCTTTCAATTTTTGTTGAGCATCTTTCCCAATACTATTCGAAATCTTTCCAACAACAATATCAAACACAAGATGCTTAATTCAACATTGGCGCCAAAAAAATTACGTGATTTGGTTTTTAATCGCGAATCATTAAATTGTTCCTCTTAAAATTTCGACAGCTCGATTTGAAACTACCAAATCCAAAGCCTAGTTGCTAAATCGCACTTGAACATGCATGGTCAACAAACTTCATAGCTACATGACAATACGATACCGATAATTAGCATTGTTGTTACCAATTACGATATTCTCTCCATTCATTAACGATTCATGATGTGTGGTGGAGATGAATTTGTATTCTGCTTCTCGGGTCATGTCAAACCAAAGAAGAGAAAATTGTTGATGCAATTCACTTGGAATTTATTAATATATATTCAAAAAACAAAGTCTCTAATACCTCTCTTCCTTTTGCTTTCCCCCGAATTTTCTTATTTTCTTGTTTTGCATACTAGTAGGAATAATAATAATATGATAATTGTGAATATTTAATATTTTCTTGATTCATCATCTAATTTCCTATTGTTGATGATTATTGTATTTGGATAGTTATAATTGGGCAAAAGGTAACAAAACACGAAACACACACTCAAGAAAAATTGAAACAATGTCGGCCTCGTCATCCAACCACTCGAAAACGAGTTTGAAAACAACACAATCATCATCCATGCGAATTATTCAACCATCATCATCATCATCATCATCACATGAAGATCATCAAGAGAACAAATCAGTTTCCTCTTCCGCACCTTTAATGTCATCTTCACCCAATAATTCCATCAATTCAATTGTTGTTACTTATAAACCAGTTATGTGTGGAGGACCATATGAAATGTTGGTCAATATCGTACTGGATAGATTGAAAACATTTTCAATTGACTTGGAGAAGATAATGTTATTGGGAGGATATGATTTGAAGAGTTGTAGTACCAACAATACAACAACAACATCTAATGGTAGTAGTACAAGTAATTTAATGATGGCCAACGGAAATAGTGCTCTGGTCAACTGGTAAAAGATTCCAAATTGAGAGAAGAATTAATATATAGAAATGGTGAATTTATTCTGTTGGATTTGTTCAAAGAGTTTTTAAAGAGAGAATTGAATTTGTCATCTTTGGAGTTTCTAATAAGAATTGCCGAATTTAACAAGATGAAAGATCCACTGACAAGGTTTCAACAATCACAAATGATTATTGATGCCTTCTTTAGAGAAGAAAGTGACTCACAGATTAATTTGAATAATAATATTAGAGAGATTGTCATTGCCAAGTTTTACAATTATGCATCGGAGGAATTTGTAGATCCAAATCTATTCGATAATGCTAAAGTAGATGTTTCAATTCAATTGAAATCTGACAACTTTTTGAGATTTACACAGAGTAAACAGTTTACAGATCATATTATTAGTGTAGTTACTGAATGTTTGGAATCAGCTAAGGATTTGGAAGGTTTTTATCATTATTTGGATATTTACTTGTCAATGATTGGAGAAAAGAAGAATGCAAGAATGCAAGATTCGTCAGCTAGGAATTTCATTGTTGATGAGGAAAATCAACCAAGTTCACCTCCACTTGCCACCACAAGTGATACATCAAGTCAGAATTCAGATTCTGCCTCAGCAACATCTAGTGATGTGAAGAGTTCTTCATCAGGCTCAGCTATTGTCGAGAGATTTGCTCGTGCACTGCTGTTTGCAGATACAACACGAAAGATTGTAAAGGAGGAAGATTTTGAAATGTTGAAAGTAATCATTCAATCTAATGATGAAAATTTGTGGAAATGCATCACCTCTTCAAAGGATAAGGACTCTACTTGTTTTGCTTCTTACAAGTCAGATTTGGGAAAGCTGAAACTTGACAAAAAGAAAAGAACAATTCAATTATTTAAGGAAACTGGTATTTTGAATGCAACACCTGAAGAGGTATTGACAGCTCTCATCGATTCACGATATTATTCAATGGTGGAGAATCAAATAATTTCCACTGATTTTTTGGAATTTATTGAAGATGACGAGGAAGAGGATGGATTGGGAGTATCCTATTCGAGAAGTGTTGTGAAAATGCCTTGGCCATTGAGTAACAGAGAATTCATTCTCGGCTCCTCTGTCAGGAGAGAAATTGGCATTGACTCAACGGAGAGTGATTTTTTGATATTGAGGAGAGGTATTGAAAACAGCAAAGTGCCAATCACTAAAGGTTGTGTTCGAGGAAGATATATTGGAGGTATTTTAATTGAGAAATTGAGTGATATTCACACAAGATATACAGCAATGGCATTTATTGATTTGGGAGGAATTGTTCCTCTCTCATTGTGGAACAAGCTCACATCCATGAGAGGAAATCAAAGCTTTTTGGGATTGAAAAAAGCAATTGAAATGTCAAGAGAAGCTGCCAAGAAGAGGGTAGTCAACCTCATCAATATGACAACTGAAAGCTTTGTGGTTCCAACAAATACCAACAGAATTGCAGACACTATCAAGCTCTACGATAGAAGAATGAGCAGAGCAGCCAGTCCAGAAAGAAGAACTATTTCAAATTTATATTTTGATGCAGACGAAATAAATTTCATGTAAATAAATGGTCGCCGAAAAACCTTTCTCAAGGAATTGCCAAAGTCGATGTATTGCAAACGTCTGTTCATATTAGTGCTTTGTAAAATTTGGTAACTCACCTTTTGTGAAGGTTGAGAATTCACAACTTCGAAAATAGACACACTGGAGAAGTTATAAAACCTGAGAATATGTAACGATAATTTCTTTCAAACAAAAAATAAACAACAAATGGCAAAACTCTATCTTAACGTGTCGTGCAATAGTTCGGTTAAAGGTAGGTAGTCAAAATTTAAGTATTCATTCTACGTTTTCAAGTATCTCCATATATTAAAGTTAATATTGGAACTTTTTCTGCACAATTCTTCCCACCATACAGCACCGCTTTGGATTTCAACCCATGTTTAAATGAAATGGTTGAAATTAAAATATTCAAAGATTATCTCGAAACCCAAATGCTTGCCACAGAAACAATTTGTTTAAGAAGTTTATTGTTTAACCATACGGAAGTATTGTTCTTTGTTCCAACTATGGAAGTGTTACTTTGCAATTGTTCTCTGAAAATTTTGGTTATCCCCAAACTTGTTTTCCTTATCGTCAACTTTGTTATCACCAAACAAGTCTGTTGGCTGTTCCATATCACCAAACCAGTTATCCTTTGGCTGTTCCAGTTGTACCTCAATGTTGTGGATGTTGTCGAGCACCAGTAAGACCATTTCTTGGATATTCAACACCACAGCAAACTTCTTGTGTTCATTTTCATAGATATTTGTAATTAGTTAATGAATTGTTAATAGTAAACAATATTTTTAGTGAGTAATAATGGATGTAGTTATGCTGTTCATGTGTTGTTGTATTGAAGAACGCTTAAACGAAAACCTAATGGTTGTAGACCTCGTCTTAATTAAAAGGTCTCCGTTACATGTCTAAATATTGTTTCAGCCTTTCTAATCTCTCATCAGACAAATTCACATTCAATACTGTTAACAAATCTGGTGCAATTAATTTCTTGTAAACTTGTTTCAACAATGGATGATGAACTGAAACAGAGTAATTGTACACCATTTTGGAGGATTCTTTTCCATTTTGACATGCTTCGCAAAAGTTCCATTCTTGAGGTAAACCTTGGAATAAGGATGGATATTCATCTTCATCATTTTCATTCATTTGTTGTTTGATGTGCTTTAAGCAATTCTTACACTTGACAAATTGTCCTCCAAAATGGATGGCATGAAACTCTACTAAGGTAATTCCATTAATTTCAATAACCCTACATGTTGGAGATTGAACACATCCTCCAGATGAACCTATCGTTACGCTCTCATTAGTTATAAGAAAATTAGAGTTTTGAGAGTTATATTGATGTGAAGTATTTGGAACCCAATCAATGTTCCCATTTTCTTGCTTCTCTTCAACATATGGAGCCAGAACTTTACCAGTACTGATGCATAGTTTTCCATAACCATGAAATAAATCGGAAACAACATTGTCATTTGGTGCCCAATGTAAATAATTTGAAAATTGGTTGCTGTGGAGACTTGAAAATTGTGTTCCTTCAACTCCAGGATAATGCATTGTAAATATGGGATCTGAAACTTGTAAGATTTCTGGACAGGGGATCATTAATACTTTAGAACTTTGCATATTATTTGGAAATGCAATTTTGTGCAAGGAAATATCCATATAACCAAAATCACCACGTAAAGAAATAATAGGATCTAAATATGTTTCGTCAACTTGAGGGAAATGTGTTCTTGTTAAGGAATGATTATATTTCCGCATTTGATGCTGCATAGATGATCCAGAGAAAAGCAACTTGCTTTCAACAGGATTGAGTTTTTGAAAATAGCCTTCAACTGCTTCGGAATATGTGCCTGTGTAGATCAATGGGATTTCATCTGTATTTGCCACGTGAGAGTTTGTGATAACAACATTGGGAAGCAAATAAAAGCAAGTACCGTTTCCACCTAAACCTGTTGAACTTGGCTGACCTATTCGAGCCATCCCACATTTAGCCTTCATCAAATAATCCTTAATGGTTGATAGCAAATATAATTTTCTAAGAGAAAATTTGGTGGATGGAGGAATTAAATCACCATTATCAGCTACTCTAAACACATTAAAACAAACTTCACTAAAGTTATCCTTTGAATACACATCGACCGAATCATCAGTTTCGGATTGAGGCACTATAACCTCTAACATTTGTCGAACAAATCTCATGACTGCGCAACGGTATTTTTTTGTTCCACCTGAAATATTGCAGTGATAAATATTGTGATTTAATGGCTGTTGTGATGAACGTTGATGCAGAAGTGCTTATTCTTAATACCTTAATACCAACAAGAGAGCTTAAAAAAAATTAGCAGAATGTTCTCACCAGCAGAATCTATTCCAATCAATGACATTGAAATTATGAAACCATCGATGAATAAGTACTCTACCACTGTGTCGGAGGAGATGTTAATTGTTGATGAAAAATCAAGGAATTGTTTTGAGGATTTAACAGGTTGCCTCAATCCCTTCCGATTAACAACCTATCCCAGAATTTGTAGTTATTATGATTTAAAATCTGCAAAGGATAATCTGGATGTTTTTAATGCTGTTGTTGATGTAGTTTGTTTTTATCAAGGTATTAATTCTAAACAAATTGATGTTAGAGTTCCAATTCGTGGTTCTGGCTTCCTTGTTGCTCCTCCAAACAAACTCGACACTATTTGGGAATATTACTTTGTGACATGCTTGCATAACACTCTTCCTTTTGAATATGAATACAATAATGAAGTAGTGCAACTTTCTTTAAGAATGATGAAAGGAATTTTAGGGAAGAATCATAGGTTTGAGCCATTAAGTACCAGATCTATGAATTGCACCATTCTTGCAAAATCAGGTCTGAAAGAAGATGAAAATGTAAAGAAACATCCAAACAATGATTGGGTTTTGATGAAAATGGAAGTGCCAATTGATGTAGTATTGGATGAACAATATTTTCCAGAATCATACCTTATTCCAAGTCCTTCAAAGCTCAACCCTCAATCAGAACATCACACAAATCTTATTGCCTTAAAGAGTATGTTTGAGTTGGAGTGTAAAAATATTAGCTTTGGAAAATTTGTTGATACTAACGAAAAAACATGTAACTATAACGCCAGCTCATTTCCAGGCTCTTCAGGCGGTGCTGTGGTGCCTTGTTGTGAAAATTATAGCAATTGGAGAGACTTTAAGGAGAATGTTATTCTTGATAGATCAGTAATAGGAATACATATAGGCTCTGAAGAGAATTTTAATAGATGTTGTCCAGTGAGTTATTGGTTCAAGGCCTTTTACGATCATGTGTTTGTTTCAATGAAAGGAAACTTTACAACGGAGGAAATTGAAAGAATAGAGGGTTTGGTTAGGATTCAGAGTTGATTTATTTGGGTTATTTAAGAGATTACTTAGTGAAGATTCATATCATTGATTATATTTCTTATCATCTATTAATGATGTAAATTTGATGGTTTCATTTCTTGTATTGATAGATATTTAAAGGTCAGGTCAGAACTAACTTTTGAATTATGGACTTTGAGAAGTCAAATGTTTGGGACGTGAATCTACTCGTTAGATTGAATATGTATTGCTAATAAAGGAACATTTCATTGATTTATTGATTATAACGGTCAAATTGAGTTGAATGGAAGTGAATCTAATGTTGATTGATCGTGGATGGGTAGTTTCGCCACGTAGTGGTGCAACTACCAACCTTTGAAGATTGAATCAGGTTGATTTGCATGCAATCTGAAATATGTAGCAGTATCAAGAGTGATTATTCACCAATTCAATATTCAATAATCGGTTTGATTTCAATCAATAGGTTGATCAACAAGCTTTGAATCAAGATTCCAGTAATCAACGGCAGTCTATTTTTAAATTTAATCAAAGACCATATATAGTAGCTTGACTTTTATGATCTGGAAACTATCTAGATCTGTTCTATATTGAATAATCTATTTGAAAATGAGAAGAATTAATTCTTCTATTGAGTTTTATTGGTATTGCAAGGTATTACGATTATAATAATGTATACAGAA